TAGGTAACGCCCACACGTGTGGGCGTTAGTGTTTCCGAACAAATTTGGTTTTGTTCATCTAGGTGCCCTATTTTAAGGCAGCTGTTGGAAACGTTGCCTTGTCATGCGAAAAAATAACTGTTTTCGGGCCTGAATATTTTTACAACACCCGGTTTCGTGCCTGCAACTATTGGAGATGATCTATGGAGTAGCTGTCGGGCGTTGGGTTTGGAAGACTGGGGCTGAGATTGCTGTCGGGCGTTGGGTTTGGAAGACTGAGGCTGAGATTGCTGCCAAGCCAAGAGCTGCGTGTCAGACCTTCATCCAAACAGGCCCTTAGGAATTAGGACTATGCTTATATTAGTCATTAGTAAGACTAGTACTGACAGGTCAAAGACTGAGGCTGAGATTGCTGCCAAGCCAAGAGCTGCATGTCGGACCTTCATACAAACAGGCCCTTAGGAATTAGGACTATGCTTATATTAGTCATTAGTAAGACTAGTACTGACAGGTCAAGTGAATTGATCGCTAATGCACACCATGTTCCTAGCAGCATCTTGTCTGAATCCTAATCCACTGATGCTCTCAATGATTGTGTCTCAGATGATTATTTTACATCTTGAGAAATGCTCCCAATTGTTACTCCCCAGGGCATGTTGTCTTCAACAGTAAAAACCATAAGCGAGTGCTCAATTGATCGATTAAACTAAGCCGGTGAGAACCGGCACAAATCCCCAAACCAGACCAAGATCCACGGAGAAGAGTATGGCACACAAAAAAGAGAGCAAAACAGTACTGTAATAAACAACACAGGATCCAGATGACCAGAGATGTCTCCACGACTGCTCGCACTCATACGGCGACAAACGCAAGCTCACAACTCACAGGGCGCCATCCATCCATCCATCCATCCATCCTCGGCCGGCAAACTTCCGGACTACAGCAGGTTTAATCCGGCAGCGGCCACGGACAGCACGGCAGCGGCGACCGTCACGGCGAAGGAGCTGCTGACGGCCGGCGCGGCGTTGGCGTGCGGCGAGGGCGCGGCGCCGGCGCGGCCGGCTGAGCCGCCACCCGCGGCTGCCGGGGCGGGCGTCATTGCGGGCGCGGTGGAAGGGGCAGCAGAGGAGAGCACGCGGACGTCGACCTTCTGCCCGATGGCGCAGTGCCCCGGGAAGCCGCAGAGGAAGTAGTGGTGGCCGGTGGTGTTGAGGACGACGGAGTCCTTGCCCGTGGCCCAGGTGGCCGTCGGCTTGGTCACGTTGCAGTTCTTGTAGTCCGCCTTGCTCACCGCGATCACGTTGTGGAACTGCTTGTTGTAGGTGAACACTGCGGCAATTCATTTTTCGAGGCAAGTCACAGGTTAATCATCACGGGAGTAATTTTTCAAGGCATCACATTCACAGGAGTACATTAATCTGGTATCACCATGATAATGGAAACAACAATCATCTGCACCAGTTATTTAATTAATCGAAATTGGCATGTTGTTGTTTAATGCCCTAAAGCATGAACATTTCTCATGGGAGAACTTCTGTTTTTTGGTTGTTGAGGAACAAAGATGAGCCATAAGGTGTATTTCATATCAGAAAGTATCCTACCAACCCACCCACTCACAATCAGCTCCCCACTGCCCACCTATCTGCAATTCTGCATCCATTCCAATTCCAGCATTCCATTTGCGGCTGAACAGGCGATAGATTCTACACTGCACAACAGCAACGTATCACGGTGTCACGGCGTAACCCTAGCCCGCCGCCGGCCCTCTCCCCCACCTCTCCTCTTCCTCGTCGCCACCGAGGTGGCCGCCGCCGGTGAAGGTGGCGGCGAAGATCTGGCCGCCCCGTTCTTCCTCGGGGGGCTTTGGATCGACGCCGGGTCTGCGGTGACCGGTGTTCGTTGGTGCTGGCCGTTCTTCCTCGGCCGCGGGGGCGGCGAGGCGGCGGCGGGTGGCGGCTGTGGTGCGGGCGTCTCGGCGGCGCCCAATCCAGATCTGAAGGCCTCCGTCTATTTCAACCAGGGCTACCTCCGATGGTCCTGCTTTGGGCGGCCTTTGTCGCCGGAGTTGTACCTCTTTGGCGGCTGGAGGTGGGAGGTGGCTCCGGAGAAATCCGAGGCCAGCAGTGCTGGCCACGACGGCGGCGACGCCCGAGGGCGCCGTACCCTTCTTGTAGGCGCCGTCCAGGTTGCCTCCTTCCCCTCTTCCTTCCACCCAGCTCGTATGCCGGGCGAAAGCCCAAATCCTCGACGGATCGAGCGACAGCGGCGCTCCGGGCGTCGTTACCCTCTTGGGGGTGTCATTCGTGGTGAGCTTGGGGTGGATGTGATGCTTTGGTTGCTTGGCGGCGGTTGGTGGCGTGGTCGGAGTTCGTCTGGTGGCGGTGCGTTGGCGCTTTGCCGCCTATGTGCTCAGCCTCGGAGTCCTTCTTCCACGGTGCTTGGTCTTCAGCAGCCCTGCCGGACTCGGCGGAGCGGTGCTTCATCTTACTCATTGATGGCGGCGTATCTCGGCGGCGTGGCGCATTGGAGATTCGGCGTCCGATGCGTGGCGATGGACTCGCACAGGAGGACGAAGTTGTCTGGTGTCGTGATGACGTCGATGGCTGAGTGGCCAGACAAGGTAGAAAGCCTCAATATTTGCTCTGAAAATGGACCTGTGGAAGATGGCGTGCGTCGAACTGGTTTGTACCCCAGACCCGGTATGTGGCTCGGCTGGGGCTTCCGGCTTTTGATGTTAGGGCTAGGTGAGTGGTATGGGTAGTGGCCCAGCTAGCACCCCTTCATCATTTTGATGTTAGGCTTAGATGAGTGGTCTGGGTAGTGGCCCACCTAGCAAGCCTTCATCATTTGGATAGGAGTAGTGGCATATGTTGCCAAGATGGCGGATTCAGGCATATTGTTGCAATACTTTGTAAGGTCCTCGAGAATAATCAATAAAGAGGCCGCATGCATCTCCCAGATGTAGAAGCCGGGGGTCATCCTCCTTTTCTAAAAAAAAACAAATCACTCACACTACAACAGCGACCTGACTAATTTAGCAAACACAAATCAGATGCGCCACGCGTACCTCTCATAAAGATATTCGATCTAGGGCTAAGTTAAACAAGCTAAAACCCAGAGCAAGTGTAACTCGAGTGGCATCTCCAGTGGAACAAATAATATGATCACCATGCAAACTTTACGGCTCATGATCACACCTCAACCTATACTCCACTTATCCAAATTGCAAACATGATAGTTTGGCCGGAAACCTATCATACACGGCAGTGGCGGAGGTAGAGGGTGGACAGGGTGGGCCACGGCCCACCCTGGGATTTTCTGAATAGCTTTATAGCATAGGAAAAATGTAAAAAAATACAACAACAACAACAACAACAACAACAACAACAACAAAGCCTTTAGTCCCAAACAAGTTGGGGTAGGCTAGAGGTGAAACCCATAAGATCTCGCAACCAACTCATGGCTCTGGCACATGGATAGCAAGCTTCCATGCACCCCTGTCCATAGCTAGCTCTTCGGTGATACCCCAATCCTTCAGGTCTCTCTTAACGGACTCCTCCCATGTCAAATTCGGTCTACCCCGCCCTCTCTTGACATTCTCCGCACGCTTTAGCCATCCGCTATGCACTGAACCTTCTGGAGGCCTGCGCTGGATATGCCCAAACCATCTCAGACGATGTTGGACAAGCTTCTCTTCAATTGGTGCTACCCCAACTCTATCTCGTATATCATCATTCCAAAAATGTAAAAAAATATTAAGAAAAAAATATTTTATATGAACAGTTCTATTGTTGGCCCACCCTGACCGATTAGGCTAGATCCGCTACTGATACACGGTGGTAATCATAGACCCCCTTCCGGAATGGACTTGGTGCGGTTCTCTGATCACTACGAGTGCTCTCTAAAGATGGCATACATGTCGTCATTCCTTTCGGCCCACCGAGAGCTACCAACCAACCAACCAACCAGCAATGAGAGCGCATGCATCAAGGTGAGTTGGCAACAGGTTCCCAATATAATTTGACAAGTTGCAAAAGAGATTCCAGGCAGATCGGGAGAGGAACAAGAACAGCATGGTCCCTAGCTAGCTTGGACTCGAGGGGGATGATGGTCCACCGAGGAAGTGCATGTCCCATTGGTGAATGGGTGATGAGGAGTGGAACAAGGAACAATCAAAGGATGATGGTATACGTTGATGTGAACCATCTTTGATTCTTGATGTTGGGCAAAAAGTTTGTCTAGTGGGTAATAGACCGCACTAGGCTAGACGGATTTTTACCCTCCTAAATGTGACAAATTAATCGCGTGCAGAAACAAAAATTGCTAAACTTTTTACAATCTGTCCAGGAAGGTGACCTTGTAACAGGCAATCACCGAGTGGGAATCGGCAGTTGCCTTGCCCCACGAGACAGTGACACCAGGAACACACACGTGAGCTTACTCGGGCAGGGGCTTTAATTAGCTTTCAAGATTTAAGTTGCTTGATTCGATTCTGGCAAATCGTACCTGGTGTGACATTTCAAAGTTAAGTGAATGCGCAATCAGTCGAAGGCTTTGGTTTTTACTGCATCTAGGGCACAGAGTCAAGAATTAAAGTGTTGTGGAATTGATAATCATGGCACACAACTGCTTTTTGAATGAATTATTGCACATGTTCGATCAACACAGTAGTGCAGTTTTTATCTGTACCAAGTGTAATACTCCCTCCGTCCCATAATATAAGAACGTTTTTCAATTTAACATAGTTTAAAAAACATTCTTATATTATGGGACAGAGGGAGTATTTTATTTTGTTCCATGGCGCATGATGTAGTATTCATGAGGTTTTGATCACTGAATGCAAAAGGGAAAAGAAAAGGCTTCCAAAGGCAGCACAGTGACCCAGTATACTTTCTGCTGGCCGCAACTTTCTTGAGTCGGTGCCCTGTGGAAATAGCAAATGAAGGCAAGAAAACCTATCTTACGCAACAAAGCAGACGGAGCCTTTAGGGCTGAAAAACAGCATTAAAGCACGCCTTGGTTCACGCTTTAGCAAAACCGATCCTCGCTTTCCAGACACACCTCACATATCCGCGCGAAAGAAGACAGTGATGTGTATGCCTATTAGTAGTAGCACGAGTATGTTCTTTCGGAAATCGGAAATTATCTTCTGTTTTTTTGCTCGGAGAAGAAACGAGTCCCTCTCTCGAGTGCGTGCACACTGACATCAGGTAGCCAGTCACGCTTCTTAGCTGAAAACAAACAAACAGGCAAACGAACGGCGGCAGCACGCCACAGGCAAGCTGCCAATGCAAAGACACGCCACCACACGGAGCTCGATGTAGTAGAAGAGTACTGCTCCGTCCGTCCAGGCGAACAGAGAAAACCAGAACGGCGGGGCAGGAGGAGGAGCCCGACATGGCGGGAAAGCTGGCGGAGCGGCCGGGTTCAGGAAAAAGGCAGGCGGAAAAGCCACGGCGACGACCCCACAACCATGGGGCCATCCGTTTTCTTTTTTGAGCTTCCATGGGGCCAGGCCATCCTCGCGGGGTCAGGTTAGGTTGGTGCTCGGTCAGGCTGGGCTGGGCGGTGGTTGGTCTTGTGTTCTGCAACGCCCTATGCGTTTGTGAGTGAGGTGAGGCCCATCGGGTACCGTCCTCTCCGCCAGGCGGGATGCAGTTGCGGCCTTGCAGTAGGAGACGCATCCTGGCCGTCCCCCACCACGACTGCGCACCGGCACCGGCACCGGCCCGGCCACGTTGCGAAAAGCGCCGAAACAGCCAGGCCAGGGACCCTGCCTGCGCGGACCACTACGGGGAGCACGTTGTGGGGAATATCTCAGTCTTCGCAGTGCAGGAACCGAGTGCTCGCTAGCCCTGTCGACACAGGTTCTCCCGCCAGAGTCATGAACTGTGCACCACAGCAGCCTCAGCTAGATCTGTAGCATGCGTGTGTGGTCTGGTTCTCTCTCTCTCTCAATTATTATGTACTCCCTCCGTTCACAAATGTGTAATATGTTCAACTTTTTTTCCGAGTTGTTCACTCACTTTAGTCCGTATATGGTTTTTTCAAAACATATTATATTTTTGAACGGAGGTAGTTTGCTGCGATATCTACACACGACAAGTCATGCTAGCACTCGATAAAGTCGGGCTTACATGGTACACACGACACAGTCTTACCACCGAGCAGTGAGTTAATGAAAGCTTTGACTGGAGTCACGTCGTGCGCGGCGGTCGCGCCGCGCCGAATCACACCGACCACGGGGAGCGCACGGCCGCCAAACTAGAGTGGATAGCACTGCCGGGCGTGAAGCCAGCTGCATGCCATGCGCCTATCCTGAGGTCGCGGGCGTACGTCAAGCGGTGCGCTGGGTGCTCCGGCGTGGCAAGAGGTTGCGGCAAAAGCCAAGAGGTTTGGGATGGATAACGACGTCGCGCGTCCAGCGTCTTCTATGCCGCACAAGGAGCCAGCGGTGCCGACTCACTGCCGAGTGCTCTACTTCTCGGACTAGTGCCCGTGTCGTGTCGTGTGTCTCTCCGCCGGCGAACTCTGTAAAATAATCCTACTGCACTTCAGAAGTGGGAGCTCGGGCCCGCTTCCACCTTCTAAAACGAGTGGTAGGCTGGCTGGTGGGAGGGTCCAGTGAGATTGCCAGGACAGTGCAAAATGCTCTGTGGCTCTCGCTCGTGTGAACCTCTGCAATCTTATCTATGCGCGTGCAACCCCGAATGATAAATCTAACCTAAGCGCAGATGAAGATATCTAACAAGTTCTGAGCAGCACACAGCCGTTTATACACAAAAACTGCAGGCACGATCCTTATCCTAGCCCCAGAAGAAAAGCAAAATGCCACGCGCTCAATCTTCAGGTTTCACCAACATAGTTCTTGTTCGTTTTTACACCGAGGGAGATTCTTGTTCTCAGGGGCTTCTTCTTTTCATTATTCCCCGGAAATTGCAGGAAATTTCGTAGCGAGTGAGCGCGAGGGGAGCAGAGCGCGCGAGCGTGACGTAAAAAGAGAGGTGCGAGGGAGGGGCTAGAGGCGTACCAAGGGTGTCGCCGACGCTGAACTTCTTGGAGGCGGCCCAGGCGCCGTAGTTGGGGTTGCCCATGATGGTCCACCCGACCTTGTCGCCCACCTCGTACACGGCCGCCGACGCCATCCCGGCAAACATCGCCGCAGCCGCCAAGGCCACGGCCGAACCTCTCCTCAGCGCGGCCATGGCTAGCACCGAGGTCGACACACCAGCCGCGGAAAGGGAGATGGAGAGGCTCCGGCTACTTCCTCGCTCTGCTCGTGCTCACTCAGTGGACTAGAGAGTGGAGTGTAGTAGGCAGAGAGTGGCGGTACTGTCCGGTTGGTTAAATAACCCGACATGCTCCGCGAGCCTTTCTGGCCCGGCCCGCAGCCCACTGCCGCCCGGAATTCCAGAAATGTCCCCGGCGGCTAGCGTTTGGTGAGGCGGGTTTTAACGGGTGCCCGACGGTAATCTCTCTCGCGCGCTTTTGCAACCACCGGCCCGGCCCTCGCTCGGCCAGCGCCGCACCGGCCAGTCACCGCTCATGGCTCGCGCCCCGCAACTACCGCTGCGGGTGCTGGCCGGCCGCTGCATGCTTTGATGCTTTGTACTAGTTCAAAAACTGTACAACAGTACAAGCAAGGGACGTTTGCCGGTTTGCGTGCACATGGGGCACGGAGGAAGTGTGGGGAGGCCCTTTGCCGTGGCCGTTCGTCCGTAAACGGCGTACCTGCTTAAAAAAAATTTAGATGGTGTTTTTTCTTTACTTAATAACCTTTTCTTTGCGCGTCCACAGCCACGTCGGATCGTTTCCTAGTCAGCCCCGTAAACGCACATATTCGTCCGTGCGTGTAGCATTATTGGTGTATATGAGGGCATCTCTAAAACGGATCCTTGAACCGTCCGGACTAACGGTCCGGACATGTTTAGCCATCCAATGTCGGCATGTATCGGTCCGCCGACCTTCAAACACACTTTTCCCGGGAAACAAACATGAAGAGCTTTGCGAGAATCTGAACAACAATCACGTGTAGGACTCTGAACCCCCGACCCACCCAAACCCCTTTCTAGACCCACGCCTCCATCCTTCCTTCTTTTTTTGCATCTGTTTTTTCACTTTCATCCGCAGCCCACTCCATCACCATGTCACAAGTTTGCCGGAGCTCGACGGCTCCGTCTCCTCCAACGCTACATCCGGGCTCCACGCCTCTTGTCATGCGCCGTCGTTCCACGCCTCTCCTCTGTCCGCAGTACACTTATCATCCACCCATATGGTACTCACCATGCTCGACAAGTGTTTGATGTTCGTGCTAATTTATTTTGTATCTTCTTTTTTGAAGCAATGGATTCAGATATGCAGTACATATACAAGCACTATGTTAAGTCGTCGGACGACTCGTCCGACGAGGAGGACTACGCGTATAAGACAGTGATGATGCAGATGGTCTTTGCAGACGCGGAGCGTGCAGAAGAGCATGTTCTCAATTTCACGGGATCGATCAAGAGTCATTGAGTGCTCAACCGCTAGGGCGCGCGGACATTTGACGCTGATGGACGACTAATTTGCCCCTGATGCACTATTCGCTGACAATTTTCACCGGCGTTTACGGAAGCGAGAAAATGTCTTCAATCGTCTATACCATGGCGTCTGGTCCTTTGATGGGTACTTCATCTTGAAGAAGCATGTCATGGGAAGGATTGGGTTCTCTGGTTACCAGAAAGTGCAAGGCCGTTTGCTCGGGTCTAATATATGGCACAGTCGCTGACTCGTGGGATGAATATCTACGGATGTCTGAGAGCACATGCGAAGATGCCATAAGATTTGCTACTACCGTGGTCTCGATGTTTGGACCTTAGTACCTGAGAGACAAACTATCACTGATACGAGCACACCAATCATTAGCAATATTAATCCAGTTACGTATCCAGCCGTTAATGATGTTTTAGATATGCCGAATCTGAAGATTAATGAGAAGCAGTGCAAAGTTGAGGATGAGCCTATTACTGTAACCTATACGTCTGCATATCGTGGACATCAGAAGAAGTTGGAGTCCCTGACTATGCGATGGTCCAAAATGATTTAAAGATGGAATTGTTTTCATCGAACCTACTCCCATCCGTTCCTAAATATAAGTATTTGTAGAGATTTCACTATAAATCACATACGAATTAATATAGATGCATTTTAAAGTAAGATTCACTCATTTTGCTCCATATGTAGTCCATGATGAAATCTCTATAAAGACATATATTTAGGAACGTAGGGAGTACTCCCTCCGTTTCTAAATATAAGTTTTTGGAGAGATTTCACTATGAACCACATACGGATGTATGTAGATGCACTTTAGAGTGTAGATTCACTCATTTTGCTCCATATATAGTCCATAGTGAAATCTTTACAAAGACTTGTATTTAGGAACGGAGGGAATAGTACGCATGCATGCAATCCATGCACTCCAATGTACTATACATGTACACGAGGGAAGAGAAGATTCCCAACCAGATCGTACATGTGCTAGTGCTCGTAGAAGAGTTAAAGTGCGTTATTTTTTATGTTGCCACGTCCATCAGAAAATAGAAGGAAGGTCAGGAATCTGTCGCGGGATATTATGTCCATGTGTTCACTTGGATGGGGACCACCAGCAGGGGATCAAATAAAGTTGTGCACCAGAAAAATAGGAGTCCAAGTTAGGAATATTTTTGTCAGTTTTATATCGGTCGGTTGTTTGCTAAAATATAAAGCATGCAATCTACTCCCTCCGTTTCTAAATATAAGTCTTTTAGAGTATCCACTATAGATTACATACAGAGCAAATTGAGTGAATCTACACTTTAAAATATGTCTATATACATCCGTATGTAGTTTGTATTGGAATCTCTAAAAAGACTTACATTTAGGAACGGAGGGAGTATTAGATAAGAAAAGGGTCGCTTGTTGTTTTAAACGTGAGAAAGAGTCCAGATTAGAAAGGGTTGCTTCTGAACTAAGTAGATAGGTCAGCTATAAAACTAAGGTGCACGCATTGTAAAGGGCAGGTTATATTTTTATGAATAGACACGATGTGTTTTTAGGGTAAATACCCATATCGAGTTTTGGGGGAAGCTGTCTAAAAATCCCTAAGTTTTGGAGGAAGCTTTAGAGAACCTCTGTGTTGCGATTTATCTTCGTGGAAATTGTTTTGTGCGTGAGTACCGTCGTCGAGATTGGTTTTCTCGTGCTGGACCGTAAGGTTCAATCCCTCTACCTCGCGTACATCGCGTGCGCGGGCGAGAGGTTGCCATTGCTCGTGGTGGAGTGTCGTGAAAGATCGGGCTGCAACAACAGATCGGATCTCACCATCGAGGTTCGGTCTACATCAATCACACACACCGAGAGGATCTTTGCAAAGTCTGAGGCTAGAGGGTGGTCACATTTGTTTTGATCTCTTAACTACATGCATTGGAGATGACAGAACCGTCCAAAAGCTCTACAAGGACAATATCAGGGTCATGTTAAGAAACCCATCTTCATTCTTAAAGCAGATGCATAATAGGATCTACAGATTTAGCATGCCCGGGTCTCACAACGACGTCAATGTGTCTGCAGCAATAACCATTATTTGCTAGACTGATTGAAGGGAAAGCTCCTCCTTGCCACTATACTGTTAATAGGCATGAATACAAAATGGGCTACTATCTGGTTA